TAAGTTGATTAAAACTTATGTTTGTGAGTTATGCAAAAGCGAGCATAGCTCAGCGGTAATTGACATATACCTCCAACCAAAAGTTTGGTTCTTTTGTACTTTCAACGTTGTTTTATTTTAATCAATATATTTTCAAAAGTTTTGTTTTAAATATAAAATCACCAATACATTTCAGAAAATATATTAATTGGGTTGATGGGAAGCCACAAACTGCCACGTGGAACTACCTTACAAGGACACATCGGGCTTTATCAACTCGCAAAGGAGGTGGGTAGAGTTCATCAGACAACGCCAAGCACACCAAAAGGGGAAGGCCGAGTGCCTCATACGGACACCTCCATGCGGTTAGAGGTGTTGACAAACTAAAGACACAATGTAGGAGCGTACCCCAATGCCACTTGCATCAATCTACGATGGATGAAAAAGAACACGAAATGTCGGGAGGGTCCCTATGCTCCCGACTGGCTGTCCTTCATGCTCCCCTTCTCTCACCCACCCCCCATAAATGAGGGGAAGGGAAACAAACTCTTATTGAGGTAAACCAATTTTCCCACACAATTCCTTGTGAAAATTCGGCACACACTCTCACCCGTGAGATTACTTACTTCAGACCTATTTTTTCCCAACTTGAGTTATAACTTAAGCATTAGAGTGCATTCGATAGAGTAACCATATTGGTGCTAGATTTATGTGTACAGGTAACATAACTTAGAGCTTTAAAGATGAAGACGTACATAGTAGTTCTGTGATACCTACGTGGTACTTGCATAGAAATCGACATTAATAAAGTGTAATGTCCTGTTAAAATTGTGATAGAAAAGATAAAATTATAAAATTAAATTAAAGGACCAAAATGGTTACTTTTTAAAATTACAAGGACGAAAACAAACATTTTGAAAATATATGAACCAAAGTCGAAGTATAAAGACCAAAATGAAAATTTTAAAAGTACAAATACGAACATAAATCAAAGCTCCAAGTACATGGACCAAACTAATATCTTAAGCTAGATATTTTTAAAACTAACACACAAACAAAATTAAAAGTTCAGAAACTTATCCGACATTTTTTTAAATTTAAGTTTTTACTAGAGAAATTGATCCAAATGACCCAGCAAAGTTCACTTTGCTCAAATAACCCACCCCTCAAAAATTGTTTTTCCCAACCAAAAATAGTTTTTTTATAACAATTAAGTGAAAGTAAATGTACTAGATTACCCCTCATTTTATATTCATTATAGTGTTAAAGAAGCTCCAGACCTTGGGCGAGTTCGAAGAAAACTCGCCCATGTTTTTATCAAATTTTCTTGGAATTTGTTCACGGGCTAGTTTTTATACTTTGGTATCTCAAACAAGTTTAGAATTGAATGTATAATTTTAATTATCATTCTCAATAACATATTAACATCTGGTCCAGTGGCTTCAGACTCCATGCTTTTTGTTACTTACCACGCATGCAAACCAACATGCCAAAATGTACATTATTAACATAATATACAATATATTGAAAACGTTGCCTAAAAAACAACCGAAAATTTATGAGTTTTGGCTTCTATTTTTGCCCATTTCTTTATTTTTCGGATAAAATTTGTTTGAGTTTTCAACAAGTAATTAGAGTCTTTGGCTTCTATTTTTGGCCACTCATTTATAATATATATTATACGCAAACAAAATTATTGGTTTGAGATTGCATGAGATTTATGCAATTAGATTCAAGCGCATATTTGTGGTCATTTAATTTCAACAACCCCAAATTAAAAAAAAATCAAGAGGTCCAAATTTATGCAATATGGATTGAAATCCGAGATTATACTGGTATCTATTTGAAAGAATGATTGGTTGTTATAAACAAAAGTTCAAGAAATTTGAAAAATAAAAAATAAAAAAATATATAAAGTTGGAAGAAATAGAAACAAAACAAAAAGGGTATTTTGTCCTTCAACATCACCTAATTTATCATCAAGGGCATAAATGTAATTTCAGTTCTTTTTTAACTAATTAAAATAGAAAATAGGTTAAAAAATAAATTTTGAAGGGATAGGTTATTTGAGCCAACCAAAACTTTTTGTGGGTTAAATAAGTTAATATCCCTTTTTACTAAATAGAAACTTAAAAGGAAAGTGACATATGTAGACTAGAAAGTTTGTCACTGTGTTCAAAGGGTTTTTTGAAATTTTGTGAGAAAATTTAAAATAAATGAGAAAAAACGGGTGTATACTAAAAAATTTGGAGTTTAAGAGTGTTGCGTCTGTCAAAGAGACGCAACTGGGTGGATTGTAATGAATGCGTCTCTTTGTCGCATCAAAACGGAAAGAAAACGATCCGTTTTTCTTTCCGTAGAACGCTGTTCAATTTTTTTAAAAATAATTATTTTATTAAATTAGATTAATATACCTATTTTTTTTAGTATTTTAAGTTGAGATTTTATTATTTATATTAATAAATAGGTGTTACTTTTTAAGATTTTTTTTACAATAAATATTTTAATAATTAACATTTTTTCTAGTAAAATCTAAATTAAAATTTCATAACTTACCTAAATTTTTAAATTTTCTATTAAATATACCTGATAAATACAAACCTGGAAATTCACAAAAATAAATACATAGTTAAAATGAAAATACATATCTTGAAATTTCATTGATAGATTAATTGATTAAACTCATTAACTATATTAATCAAAATTCATAAACGACCACAAACTTTTAAAGAGACAATAATTCTAGTCCTCTGAAATCCTCTAAAATTTTCTAAAATCTCTAAATTTAAACATTATATTTGAAATATGTATAATAAAATATTTATCTTTAATAGTGTGGATTTATTTTTGAAAAAAAAAATAAATTTATGACATTAGACATCCTAAAAACATTTTAAATATTAAGAAATCTACCGAATCATGCCTAGAGTAAATTTATTAAAAAAAATAGTACAACAAAAAATTCACACTATTAAACTATCAAAAACTAAAACTACCAAACTTGACCAAAGAACCATGACTTATTTTAAATCTATGTATTTATTTTTATAAATTTCCAGGTTTGTGTTTATGAAGCATATTTAAAAGAAAATTTAAAAAATTAAAAATTTAGATAAGTGATGAAGTTTTAATTTAGATTTTACTAGAAAAGATGTTAATTATTAACCTAATTAAAATACAAAATAGTTATATTAATATAAAATAATAAAAACTTTATTGTAAAAAAAATCTTAAAAAGTAAGCGTATTTGATCCACCTATTATAAAAAAAATCTTAAAAAGTAATTGTATTTGACTCACATATTTATTAATATAAAATAATAAAATCTCAACTTAAAATACTAAAAAAAGGGAGGTATATTAATGTGAATTAATAAAATACTTATTTAAAAAAAAATCTTGAATGGCGTTCTACTTTACTCAGTTGCGTCTCTTAACAGAGGCAACACCCTAAAATTCCAAATTATTCAGTATACACCCATTTTTTGTTATTTATTTTAAACTTATCCACAAAATTTCAAAAAATCCGGGTTCAAATGACCTAAGGGTTGAAAACACTTTTTTCTAACCTAAAACAACTTTTTCTAATACACCAATAAAAATAAATGTACGAAATTACCCCTGCTTTTGAATACAAAATAAGCTGTCTACCCACAAATAATGTGCCAAAACGTGTGTGAATTTGAAGAAAATTTGCCCGACTTTTATGAAATTTGACTGAAAATATTGGTTTAGGGGTGAGTTTTTGCAACTTAGGAGTTCTTGGGTGAGTTATTGTTTGTGATATATATTTTAATTGTAGTTTTCATATGTGATTTATTTCCTGGCTCGGTGGTTTCATTCAATTTTGTCTTTTTATCTTGCACAAGTTCAAATCCTATGGAATGCAATTTATACTATTTTTCAAGAAAATTAACTGGTCGCCTATGAACCAATGTGTTCGAGTGAAATTTATAACTCGAGTGAGATTTCTTCGAATTCGCCCAAGTTTTGGCTTCAATTTTTTGCTACTATTTTATTTTAGGGGCAAAATTCGTCCGAATTTTAGCCTCCATCTTTTGTTACTATTTTATCTCCCGAGCAAAATTTGTCTGAGTCTTCATCAATAAACTAAAAAAATGCCAATCTCCTTTGTAAATGGAAATCACTCTCTTTATTTTTATTTTTTTTTCAAAAATTAGTATCAAGAACCAAGATTAAGTTTTCATCAAGACACGAGAGCATCTAGTATATTAGAAGTGACGGTTAATTAAATTAGAGTAGAAAAAGAAAACAGAAAAGAGAAGAGAGAGAAAATTAAAAGAGGCATAATAGTCTTTTTCATGTAGCCTGGCATTTTAAAAATATCATAAGTAAGTCAAAGAAAAAAAAAAAGAATTTTAAAAAGTAAGTCATTTGAACAAACTAAGCCACGTCTCTTAGGACTGGTTTGGTAACGTTTTCTGTTTCTTATTTTTAATAAGAAAAAAATTAATTACATGGTTCCAACATCAAACATATGATAAAACAATTTTTTATTTATGTTTTGGAACAAATTAGATAATGAAACACGAAAGAGAAACTTATTTTGGTTGTTTTCAAAATTACCATTTTGGGAACATTCCAAAAAAAAAATAAATAAATAGAATAATTAGTTGCGAACTGTTTTGATTTCTAGAAAAATTAAAAATAAGAAACATAATGTTACCACCGGTCGTTAATTTGGCAACTTAAAAGTTGTAGCAAACTAAATTTGTAATTTAATGAGCTATCCTATTTGTGGGTAATAAAATGGGTAATATGATTACCTAAGTACTGTTCATCTGCAGAAGCCATATTTATGTGCAACGAATGGAAATAAAATATAAAAAATTCCATCCGAATTGAATGTTTTATAGAATGAATGGCTGAACCCACCAAAAATTTGAAAATAAAATTTCCACACACATTATCAAAAACAAAAGAATTATAGAGATAAAGAGGATAATCATACAAAGATAAATCTATATATTCTTTAGTTTCAAACTACAAAAAAGAAATCCTCATCTTCACAATATTCCTCTGATTCACAGTAATAATAACAGAACATATAATTTAATACCAAATTTATATGTGCGTGAAGAAATTTCAAGGCTTGTGTGTGTGTATATTGTTGGATTATATGTAAGAACAAGATTAAGCAAAAAAAGAAAGCATCAAAATTAGGTACTCATTTTTTGATTTCTTGGTCGCCGAGTTCATCTTCGATGTCTGAAATATTCATCCTCGCAGAAGCTTGCTTGGCCCATTTCACGATTTTCTCAGCCTCCCGATTGACCTTCTCTTCCTCTTTCATTGCCTTTTTCAGGATCTTTTGCTGCTCTTTCGCTGAGAAAATGCTCAAATCCGAGAGGAAATCGTTGTTTTTGCCCCAGCCAAGGTCATTCTCGAGAATTCTGCCGCTGCTGGTCTTTTTCTCTGGAGTTTTCTTCGGAGAACACCAAAAACAACCGGTTCTTATCGGCGGAGAGGGCGGAGATTGCGGCAGAGAAGCGAAGGATTTGGATTCCGAGTTGGTTTTTGAGCAGATTTTGCCGTCTCTCTTTGGTACTATTGGAGGCGATGAAATTTCATCGATTTCAGCGGACGAAGAGGACGAATTCGAAGGG